AGCCTCTCTTTCTCCCTCCTCCCCCAGCAAACTAGCCTCTCTTTCTCCCTCTTCCCCCAGCAAACTAGCCTCTCTTTTTCCCTCTTCTCCTACCAGACCAGCCTCTCTTCCTCCCTCTTCTCCCACCAAACCAGCCTCTCTTTCTCCCTCTTCTCCCACCCAACCAGCTTCTCTTTCTCACACCAATCAACTCCCTTCCTCCTCTCCTACCAAAGAGGCCACATCCCTGTCTTCCTCTCCCACAAAACAGGCTTCTCCTTCCCCAGTCTCCCCCATCAAACCTATCATATTCTTCCCGTTCTCTTCCCCAACCAAACAAGAACCTCCCTTTCCATCACCCATTCATCCAACCCTGTTTCCCTCTCCCCCCTCTACACCTCCCAGATCCACAACCCCGCCCTCTCCCATTGCTTCTCCTTCTGCCATCCCTCTACCTGCTGAAGAGCTGATGGAGAAGATTTAAATGGCAATTTTGTTGCCAATTTCACACCTCACTCCTTCTCTTTACATCTATGTGTCAGAAAACGTTAGATGAGGAGGTTAAAACTCCATCTTGAGCCTTTCCAGTAGCTGTAAACTGAGCCAGTGACTGCTGTGTCCATGTTTTTATCTCACTCTCATCCCACTCATTTTCAGAGACTGAGGATACAAGTCGTTTTCAAAGAATTTGTCGATTGTATATATATTTGTATTTATTATTAGAGGATGCGTAGAAAGGGAATGAACTGAATGCATCTGAATGAGTTGTTTGTCTTTAGTAGTCCTGCATTACTGTATCACGTTGATGTGAAATATTGTATTTATTATCCCATTTTGACTGCCTGTGGCTCTTTTGTAAATAGTTATCCATTACTCACACCCACCATTGTGAACTCCTTTTGCTTTAGCAGAGACACTAGGTCCATAATACATAGAAGTATTTCAGCATATCAAATATCTGAACTTGCAAGCCTAGCTACCTGTAATCCAGCTACTACCACGATCAGTATATTCTGTGGCCACAGTCATCCCAATGGTAACCTGGAGTTTACTGTAAAGTAAGTGTTACTCTACAGTACAGTGGGTTGACAAAATAAAGATAATACCTAACAAAGAACCTAGCGGCTAATAACGAGGAAGGTCATGCTTTGTTTGTGAAACAGTTTCATCTCTACTTGGAGGTTCTATGCGTTTGTGTGCAATTAAATAACATTTAATGAGATATGGAATCATCTGTTAATTCAAAAGCAAATATCAGGAGAAAAAGAAACTGGGGGAAAAATATAATCTACACAATGTTTTGTAGCAGGAGTGTGTTTTTCCTTCCTTGCTGTCCTGTTAATCATCTCCCCTTCCCTTTATCCTGTGACCCCCCCAGACCCACAGGGTTGGAACCACTGCTCTTGTTATTTAGCCATGCAGAAAGCTTTTATTTTATTTCACTTATTTTGTCCAATTCATTGTATTCGGGTAGGAACAGTTATTTCAGATAAAACGCATCTCGTAGGTATTTAGGTAGATTATCTTGTGCACCCACTGAAACTGACAGATATGCGGACACATTAATCCAAATACTGTTCATACGTATTATTTGATGTGAACACTTTAGTACATACATCGTGTGAAGAACCTTAGTTGTCCACTTGAAACTTGAAGGTTTGTTTTTGCCTTTGCGCGTCTGAGCAGTTAATGGCCCTCAAAGTCCGGGATGACTGCTGTACATAAAAAATAGAGCGACTAGATCGAACAGACATGAAACCTTTGTTTCTAAAGGACTGCAATTTCTTTTAAACTGAACTGCTTTCTGCTGTGAATGCAGTAATGCACAGAAAAAAACACATTAACTTAGAATACCAGTTGATATAACTCCCACTTAAAATCCTACACTACGGTTTGCATGAAGCTAGTCAACACAGCAATGGTTTTTGATCTGTTGGATTTATATGAATGATTGTGTGTCGAGGTGACGGGTTTGTGCCGGACCACTAGCTAACAGCTCATAGCTTAATGATGCCTTTATCAAAACCCACTTGACTGATAAATGGGACTCAAAGTTTTGCATCCTGTAAATAAGTCAAGTGATTTGTTTTTGTTTTGTGCAATTCTGTTATAAACTCCACAGCATTTGTCCCAGCTGTGTAGGGCTTAGTCAACATGCCTCTTTGCCTCTTCAGGACTTCCTGCTGCATGCATAATCCATTTCACTTCCTGCCTCCCTGTTAGTCGAAACCCTCACGCATACACCAAGTCGGTTGATTAAAGTTGGTACATTATATCATTTAGCTTCCTCTTATTTAAAAGTAGACTTTGATATGCAGTTTGTAAAGGGAATTTGTATGAAATGTTTTAAAACCAGTTTATCATCTGTGTCATACTGGAGCAATGTTCTTTATTGTGCATTGAGTGGCTGCTTTTAATGTCCTACTGTTTAGAAACAGAATAGCAAAAATGCAATAAAGACTTCAAATGAATATTTGCTTGTGATTATTTCTGTGCGTTGTAGCAGAACAGAAATACACGGAATAGCCCTTTTCCAACCTGACAGGAAAAGAAGGTGGGGAAAGAGAGGCTATAAATCAGACACACCTGTGAGCTGGGGGAAGGGAAAAAAACAATACATTTGTATTACTCAATGGACATTTAATTTCTATATCTGGACTCGGTCATGTGGTGTATTTGATTTAATGAACCTTTTTGTGTATAATTCTGTATTTAGAAAGAAACTGTTTTGGTTTGATTTATGATTTTTGAATAAAATATAATTGACTTCAATGAAACTCATTAATTGGTTGAGTTTTGCTTACTTTGCATTTTGTAGCCGGGTTAGCAGGCTAGTCGGGTTAGTTCTCTCTCCAACTGTTCAGTGATATTTGTTAATTAAATTGACAGGGTGGAATTTCTATTATTCCCCTGTCTGGAGCCCAATGTGTATTTTGAATAGTTGTGAGAGAAACCACAGACATTGGCCACTAGAGGATGCTATGCAGTTGAAGTGATGGTAAATCATTACGAAATAGACTTTGTCCAAGGTTAGGATTAGACTGTTAGCGGTTATGGTTAGGGTTAGAGTAAGTCTCCAGGAAATTCATTTAATTCAATGTAATGTCATGAAAACATGAATGTGTGTGAGACAAGAGGATGGCCACTGAAAGATGGAGTCATATAGTTATTCCTACTATCATCAAACAAAACACTCAAATGTTTTCAAAAATAAAATTGGTTGATAAATAACTAGTTTTCATATAACCAGAGATTCAAACTATGTCAAAGCCCAAACTTAAAAGATACAAGTGGATGTTTATTCTAGTGAGTACCAAAGGAATATGTGTCATTGCCATTTTAGTGCCGAATCACATCTTAACATAATGGTTAAGTGTGATGAGCAGACTTATTAAGGCCGACACAAACTGCTGTTTACATAACCTTTAATGTTTTTATGATTTATTGATGACATGATATATGTATCATGTCATATTATAGTATGTTGAAAAAAGTCAGAAAAAAGAAATTGTATATAATTTAGAAAACGGTTATATTATAGTAAAAGTCAAATTAGTGTTTCGGAAAATCGTCATGAAAAAGCCATATTATAGTCTGTCAAAACAAATGATAGAAAGTTATATTATATGTTCAAAAAGGTCTGAGTATGGTGTGTGCAAAAAAGTCATAAAAAAAATCATAGTATAGCATGTTGAAAAAAGTTGTAAAAGAGTCAGTATGTCGATAAAAGTCATAAAAAGTAATAGTATAGTAAAAGTAATGGTACCGTCTGCTGGTACCCGTCTGCATGTTGGGACCCCTGAATTGTAAGCATTTTTCATTAAGTATTTCCTTTGCATCTGCCTGCTGGTCTGTTTGTCTGTCCTTACCTTCTATTTTTTCCTCTTTTTAATATTGAATAAAAGTTTTACTATTGAGATGATCTCTGGATCACTGTCTGTCCTTAGCCTGCTCCCAGCATGTTCAACGGTGACAACTACGACTTCTTATGACAGACCATGACCTTTTTGTGACATCCTATACATTGACATTTTGTTTATCAGATATTATACGATGTGATACGAGGGGCACAGGCAAATAACGATGGCCTTTTTTCATCACATACGATACGACATTTTTATGCAATACTATTTTTTTATGAAATAGTATACTACTGCTTATGACATTGATCACTTTCTTTTTAAATCCTATGCTACAACTTATGATTTCTTTATGACCTACTTTTCAATTCCTTTTTTTACATACTTTGATTTTAATGACATACTATATTATGACTTTTTATGCCGTGTAATGATTTTTTTTATGACATACTAACGACTTCTTCATGGCATAGTATACTATGACATTTTATGATTCATGACATACTACAAAATAACTTTTTTACTGTTTTCATGACACTAAACTATAACTTTGACTTTGTAATGATCAATTACTTTTTAGTACATTTTTTACTACATGCTTTTCTACGAAATATTTATATCCTATAGACACTATCTCTCAATATTACTTGTTCCGTCTTAGTTTCTATTGGGCACTGGTGCTAGTATTACTTATACACTTTATATTTAACCTTTGTTGTGATTTTACATTTTGTTTAAGTTAAATTTTTCACCTTAGTCTTATCGCTATTCTATTAGGCACTGGTGTCATTACTACTTTTACACATATTTGCAATTCTATTGTTTTTAAATTATTGCACAAGAATTTCCTACCGGATTAAAAAAAGTTCTATTTTATTATATGAATTCTGTTGTCAATGTGACGAGTTTGTGCCTAACCACTAGCTACTGCTCATGGCTTAATGATGCCTTTATCAAAACCCGCTTGAGCATCTTAGAAATAAGTTATGTGATTTGTATTGTTTTGCACCGGTTATGAACTCCACAGCATTTAACCAGTTAGGTTTTACTGCTACAGGACGGCTGCATGCATACCACCGCCTGCCTCCCTGTATGACAAAACCCTTGTTAAAAGTAGACTTTCATATGCAGTTTGTAATGGGAAACTAGAGCAATGATTTTAATATCGTACTGTTTAGAAACAGAATGACAGCAAATATACAATAAAGACTTAAAATGTATAAGTGTGTGTGTGTGCGACTGTGGAACAAGCAGTTGGCCACTAGAGGATGCTATGGAGTCAGTTATTCTTAGTAAGAAATTCACTCATACGGACAATTCAAGTTATAAAATTCCATTTTATTGTCAGAACTCGGCACACAAAAAAAACAAACATTGGTTGATAGATACCGGTAGTTCTCATATAACCGGAGATTCAAACCACAAAGGAATATTTCCCCCAAAATCAAGAGATACAAGTGGACATTTATTTTAGTGAGGATCAAAAGGAATATGCAGTTTATTACTGAATCACACCTCAACGTAATCACTCATGTGATGAAGAGAAAGAAGCAGAGACGAAGTCCTTCCTGTCATTGCACATCTCACCCTGCTGTTAGAGAGACAGGACTCGAAGAGGACTTGGTATGACACTCATACTTCCATCACAGACATCAATGTTTTCCGATTTGCGTATTCAGTCATTTGGGAAAGAAATTGGACAATTTTCCTGACATCGTCCTTTACATAAAGCTCATCTTTAACATCAGAGGGGATGTTTGTAGTATTAAATGATAACGCAATAGTTCTTCACTGATATGTTGTATAAGAGTAGTGAGCCATGCACAGAAATGCAATCTCTTAGCAAGCGTAGAAGTACAGAGGGAAAGGAAATTTTAAATATGGAGTACAATTAAACAGAATATATATTTATATATTTATATTCCCTCTTTGTTTATCCTTCTGTCCAATACAATTATTTATTCAAACAATTCCTATCTACCAACTTTGTTGTCAAAATGCATGTTAAAAGTGAATGATAGCTTAATAATTCCCCACACACACCTACAGGAAAAAAATTAAAATAAACCACTCCCTAAAATACACAAATATTTGGATTTGTAAGTCAAGAGAAAAGGTTCTCACAAGCTCCCCACAAGTCCCACGTTTGTTTTCCGGAGGAGACGAAAATAGACTCTCAGCTAAAAATAGATCTGTTTTTAACCGTACAGTAACACAACCCACACCCTGTGATTGATATGAAAGATTTCTATCTGATCTACAAAATATAGCAATGCCCTTTTTAAAAATAGTTCAGTGGTTTTTTTTTTTATTATAACCGGACAGTTTTATTGAGATACATTCAGGATATAGACAGGATAGTGCCTTTGATAAGAGTTCACACTTGCAACTGTTTGGATCTTCGTCAGTAGTCAAGTCGCTGCTGTTGTCCGCTCAGTACCTGGTCTGGTACTCGTGGTGCCATCTGTTGAAGTCGTTGTAGAAGAGCACGATACTTCCAGATGCCATGCCGGTTATGATGCACCTTAGAGGAGTTAGGAGGGAACATCAGCAGGTTATGTTTGTTTTATTTGCTTTAAAATTCTATTAAATTGGAGAAATCTCAGATGTAACATTTTGTTTAACCAACTCAAGCACTGTACTTAACATTAATATTTTACCTTTCACTCCACCATACATACAGTGCTCACCTGACATCTACAGTTACGTCAGGTCACGATTTTACACACAGAAGACATGATCAGCTTTTAAATATGTCATAGATGAAGCTACAGCATGAAGTTATTAATACACCAGAAAAAATATTAATTATCCCATAACAGCCAACAACTGTTTTCATAATCCAGTAATTGTTCATTTTTTTCTTTTTACATATAATTGATTAATTGTAAAAAATGAAGAAATGGAGGACAATGTTTATCATAATTACTGCCAATAACTAGTTTGGCTCAACCAACAGCTCAAAACTCAGTTATATAAAATGTACAGAGATTTTAAGAGTACAGCGAGTATAAAGCAACTTTTTTTTTTTAAAGAAATCAATACAAACATTTTGATGATAAATCTTCTATCAATGGACTAACGATAACATCATAAATCAGTTCGAAATAAATACAAGTGCCTTTTGCTACATTACTGAAGTGATTTTCTTCTGGCTGGGCGCTACATTCTCTGCGTGTAGGTGTTGTTACCTTTGGTCATGTGACATGGTCATGGAGCGGATTCCTGCGTCACAGCCTGGGTAGGTGAACAGCTGTTTGAGGTTGTGGACCTGCCAGACAGACACTACACCTCCATCGCCACCTGTCAGCAGATACTGGCCGTCCCGACTGAGATACATGGCCTGGCAAAGACAGAAAAGAAAACCATTTGTAATTTCACTTTTCATTGTGTTCACTCTGTGGTTTTGGGACGTTCCAATCATTACAGCTTTTACAGTAATATGTCAGATAAATGGTAATGGGCTTATAAAGTGCCTTTCTAGTCATCCGACCACTCAAGGCGCTGTACACTACAAGTCAGCGTTCACACACACACACACTGATGGCAGAGGCTGCCATGCGAGGTGCCACCTGCTCATCAGGATCTTATCTATTGCACATTGAAGCAGC